GTACAGTATGAAGACAGCAAAATGACAATCAAATTTTCAAAAATTAGGGGTGGGAGTGAAGATTAGATTAGCCAGGCATTCAGCGGGAGGCCTTTCAGCTTGTTTCATAGCTCACCACGCACACAGCAAACATGTGAGCTGGCTATTTTGGGTTTTGCCAGCCCCCCCCTCTACCACCCCCTCTAACCACACTCCCACATCTCTATCTCCTTCCATCATTCCCTTCCTGCTGCCACCCACTGCCTCTCTCGACATACAACTTCCCCCTTGCTATAACTGTTTATTCGCCATAAATAGTGTTACTTCTTCACTCAACTCAAATATGTCTGTTGTATCAAGTGTCAAAACTGCAAAATGTGAAAGGTTGATATGCTTTGTCAGGCCTTGCTCACATATTCTCTGATCAGATATTTCTTGATTAACGTCATAACTTTTCAAATTTTATGCCAAATTCCTGGACGGCTTCTTGTGTTAAGATATTACAAGTTCCTGTGTTTTAGAAGTTTGTTTTGTTAGTAGTTTAGTATTTACATTAAGTTTTCACTTTTATATGATAATCTTAATGGTGATTTATTATTTTCTGCAATCAGTACAGGGAACGATCTAGAGGATAAAACAGTGATAACAGCGCCAAGGAATGAGAATTTAGTCTGCTCCAGACCTGATATTAACCCTTAAGTGACCTTGTATGGGAGATGAATGAGTTCAGTCTTATGTCCAACACATTACCTACGCTAGAGAAGAGTGGAGGAGCCCTAAACTGCAAATAGAGGTGAGGCTCTGAAAATGCAATCTCAGCTTTCTGCAGGAAGAGAGATTGACCATGATAAAGACACAAAGGTATTTCTCATCTTAAAGTACATGGCACAACTGTTCATACAGCCACTGTGTCAAAGCCAAAGTAACAGGCAGGACCACCTAATACAAAGTCTAAATATACCATTGACAGTTATACCAGTGCCACTTTTTGTCAACTACACCCAAGCTACGCTTACTTTTACAGTTTTGACATCACACGGGACAAATTGTGGTTTACATAGAGTGCTGAGCACTGAGCATGCTGCACTCGACCCGAGCAGCACAGGAGGAAACACAGCTGAGCCTCAGTCCCATTGTGTAGAGGTAGAGACGGACAACCACATGCTACGACCTCGAAAACAAACTCCTTCGGTTTGTTTCCAGAAAACACACACACACACACACACACACACATATGCAAACCAGACACAAACAAACATACCCCCACAATGAGAGATAGACAGATGCAGTAAACACATCAAACAGGAAAGACACAGGCAAACACATCCTCACATGGACAGACACCCACACAAAATTGCATTATGTCCTGTCAAATGTCTCAACATGTTTCCAGCAGCTAATACCTCACCACTGTGTTTTACAACTTACAAAAGTTTCAAGTATAACAAGACTAATTCAAGGCTAATATCAGCGCTAACATTAACTGCTTACAAAAATCAAACCTTATTTCTGGAGTGGCTGTGTGTCTGTGAGTGAGTGTATGGCTATGTGCACAAGCGCACACACCTGTCAAAGTGAAGCTGTAAGTGTCAAGCTATGCTGTCAATCAGGACTAAGGCTTTTACTGGTGACTGATACGGTTTGAGTAGAACTGGACAGATCCAATTTTGATCAAGCGGATGTTGGTTTGTGCCAATGCCGTGATAGAATGGCCGAGATGCTCCACTTTGACTGACAGATTGTGTCTCGGGCTGTCCTTCCGTTTGTGTTGTTTTTGTGCTTGTGTAAGTGTGTATGTGCCTGTAGGTGCATGTGTCCTGTTTGTCTGGCTCCTGACGTGTCCGAATCTACTATATTTTGGATCAGTTGTTGATCGGAGCTTCTCTTCCCCTCCATTTCATTAGCGAAGATATCTTCCACCATATACTATCATGTCAGGGGCTGCTGGTCTGAGCGGTGTGGCTGACCCTGATAAGAAGCACTGAGCCCACTGCTTTCAGTCACCTCAATCATCCCACATACCCTTGAGTCTGTTTCCATAATAGTCTGTCTGTCCTTCACTCGTTCATGGTGAACTTTAACTCTGTCACAGTGACCCTGTTTCAACACATCTGAGGTGTGTTTGGCTGATCGGTCTCCATGGATACACAGTATATAATGAAGCATAACTGTAGGTTTACTGTGTGATTGTGTACAGCTCACAGGCTCTATAGCTTATCTCACTGATGATTTACTATAACCTGAAGAGATTCATCTTTACCTTGACACTACCATGCCCCCCCCCTTTATAAGTTTTGAAGTTTTGAAATCTCAGTTCTCTGACCAACAGTCCAAGATGCTAACATTGACATTTTTGTATGAAAATGTCTCAAACAGTTCCGTGATTTTCAGAATAGCTGCCTATCAATTGACTAATCCTTTCAGCCATGACTCACTTTGAGAATATTGCTGTGTCTAACAGATAACCAAAAGGCACTTTTTAGTGACCTATTCTCTATACATTAGCTGAAAGAGATATAAGCTTGGGGCCACTAACTTGACTCCTTATCACACCAAACATCAAAACCTAAAAAAAAAAAAAAAAACCTGTCTGACAGCGCGAGGACGGATCGAAGTTCATCATTTGTCTGATATGTGCACACAGCCCAGTCTGATCATGAGCAACTATTTCACAGTAACCCGACAGGCTACACTACACCGTGTCGTCTTAGTGTAGCACAAACATACGGCTGTACACGGGCAGAACAATACTTACTTGAGGGCACCACAAATATAGTAAGTGAACTGTTTCGTCAAACTTTTTAATACGTACAAAAACTGTGGTACATTGACGCACAGCACGCACAGTCAAAACCATGCCCCAAAAAAGTGTGGTCAACTTTAACGAGCAACTTACCAGCTCACTTCCTCCCTTTCCCTCGAGTTGTCCCTCCTGCCCGCCAAGCAGCTGCTGCACAAACTTAAGCTTAATTTCATCCAACAGGACGAATGGTCGGTGGTTTTTATCCGTCTCACACTTTTGATAAACTTCATACGAATTGTAACTTAACTTCTTCTTTCCTCTCCCTTTCCTTCCCTTCCTCCTCCCCCTGCCTCCCCCCCTCCACGGTCACGACAGAAGCCACTTCCGCGAACAAATGGCAACGTCATCTGGCCGCGGATCCTGTGTGTGTTGTGTGTGTTGTGTGTGTGTGTGTGTGTGTGTGTTTGCTCTGTTTTGCACCTGGCCCATTCAGTACAGATTGCGCAAAAGTAGATGCCCCAATTCGCATGCAAGAGGCATACCACAACTTACTTTAAATAAGTGCTGTGAAATTTCGTTTTCGTTCTTTGTTACCGCAAGATTGCAAATTTACAAATGCCTGTGTTTTTCCGCAAGAAAAATCCCTTCTATGACGTATGTCTATCGTCTGTAATTCCTTAAATATTGGTACACACAATATTACATTGTAATATTGATATATACTTTGTGCAATATTACATAGTGATATATTATGTATGTGTTACTACCGTACAAATTTATATTTTAAAATGTTGGGTTGATTGCATACATGCAGAATATATATTCATAGTCGTTAATTCTATGTTTCAGATCATATGGTTTGCTTGTGACAGCCACTACAGTCACAGTTTGTAGTGGAAAGAGACAAACCTCACTCTGTAAGCCATAGTCAAAAAATATACCAACAACAAACAAGCCCTTTAGCAGGATACTCGACTTAACCCCAGCAACTACAGTGTAACTACTCATATACATATACACAATAATTCTTTTTCACAGAAGATATTTTGACATGCCACAATAGGAAAAGCACAGGTGTAAGTAATGGAATAGATGATGGCTTAACTCCTTTTACCTGCTCCAGTTACGGGGTCCTGGTATTGTTCATGCTGGCTCACTGACACATGGGTTGCTGGGACACTTGAATAGAACAGCACCATCGTTAATGTAAATAGTGACACCTGTGCTTTAGTGTTTCAAAATACGGTATTTATTAAATAAACGAATCTCAACAACATGGGAGATGAAAACATACTTGCTATAAGTCAAAATTATGAAATACTTTGTAAAATTCTAACTTTTTAAGTCAAAATCATTTAATATATAATACATATTTTGACATTATCTACTGGTTATCAGTTACATTATAATTTTGTCTTAATTCTGAATTATTATTGGACCATTTTGATTTCCCATAAGCATGTTTTATCATATAACTTTATGTTACCCAACTTTTCATCAGTTTTTTTCTTTTCCTGACAGAAAATGGCTTCTATATTAGACCTAGGCCTAACTGCAGTACATCATGGAAATTTTACATTAATACATAATTTTCTGACAGCTATATATTACATGATTGCTTGATGGGACTGATAGGTTCTCTCTAGGTGAATAGGAATTAATACAGAGTTTCTTGGCATGATAATACCACCTTTAGAACTTCAAACAAATTGGTTATTTAATTCTATACATGCATTGTAGCTTATACCACCAATGCATTCTCAAACCAATACAATACTGTGGATAAAAAGCAATGCACCTTTCACCCAGGTTTCAGTTTCATCTATTTTCAGAGCAGCGCCAGACTCTCGGTAGTAGACGAGCCAAAATGCGCCACCCACAGGCCAGGGGAGTAAATCGATTCGAGTCTCTAGAGTCCGTGAAGTACATGTGTAGCGTACGCTTGGCTCCTCCAGCCAGCAGAGGCAGACAAGTTCTTTTTACTGTTTATTTTCAGGCTGAAGAAGAAGCGACTGCTTAGCATCTATTAGCATCATGCTATCTGAGTGTAGATGCTGCGGACTGACTCTTTGTAGACATACGAGTTATCGGCACAATTCGTGTAGCGAATAATTTTCATCAAATGACATATACTACTCCGTATCGTTTCTTTACAACGCAGACCTTTTTTCCTTCACTTCCGTTTATATAAAAAAGCTTCCCGTTAAGACCCGCCTCCGTAAACCTGATTGGCTGTTGCACTTCTCGGGGAAAGCCTTTCTTGTTTTGATTGGACAGCTAACGACTTGTCTTTTGAGTGACATGCAGTCACGAACGTTATGATACGTAACGAGGACATATGCGGCTCAGGAGTAAGTTACCTCGCTTTTGATGAGTTTGGTTTTGTAATTATAAAAACACTATATTATGTAGTTCCCCGCAGCATTTGGTAGTCGAGATAAATCGGTATTTTAGACAGATTTTAAAGTATTATGTAAGTGTACTTCCATGCTAACATACTGCTTGCTTGTGGCCAGAGTCACCCACAATGGCTTAAGTAACCTAGCAAGGAGACTTGTCACGGCTAGCAAAGATTTGTCATAGAAGTACATGACGGTGCGATTTATAGTCAACTTTCATTTATGTCAGTTTTATGAAGGCAAACGAATATCCTTGCGCTTCATTTCATTTCATTTCGTAAGTTTTCAGTGTTACGCAATTTAAAATGTGCAGTGAAGTGCACAGTAGCATGCACCTGCAACTGTCACTTCATCATTTTGAAGGATAATGTTAACACACCAACAGGACAGCTATATCTGCCTCAATGGGGAGTAGATTAGCATCTGTAGATGAACCCTAACCCGCACTAACACCGTCTGTACCTGACCTCAACCTCAACCAGAACTCAGCTGGCAGCTGTCCATTAAACCTTTGCTCCCTTTCTTTGTCCACCACCTCTCAGTTCATCATATTGTAACAAGTTTTATTCAATCTTGTACATTTGTCTTCACACCTCTCACCATGTACAAGCATTATTTATCAACACTTTAGCGCAAAGCACATTGTTATGTCTGCTTCCACTTTAAACAGTGCACTTAAGTTTCTACTTGCAGTACAAATCATGTGGGTCAACTTGTCAGTAAATTACTTGCACTTCAAACACTGGAAGAGACATAGGGTGTTCCACATCTGCTTCAGAAAGCTAATGGACAGACCACACTTGCAGGGTCACCAGCTTAGGGTTTGGCTATCCATCAAGAAGGCGTATCAGTGTAATTCATGCATATGTAGCAATTGTAGTCCAACACCAACAGCCTCATTAAACAGAACTAAAATATTTTTCCCAGAGACAAATTCATCATAAACATGCAGTATCTGAAATACAACTCATCATTTATTATTTCACCCTCAACTGTTCAACTTCAGCTCCAAGACCCGTTGGTAGATATATGTATTTCAAGTAACAATCATTGTTTGTTGTTACACTCTGTGGTGCTGATATGCACAAAACTGCTCACAGTGTTTCCGTCTTTCCCCCTTGTCTTTCTTTTTCTGTTCTAAAATTTCATGTCTCCCTTCCAAGATATTTCCTGACATGGACAAGTTATGAAGGAGAAGAGGGCCTGAGCTGGAATGAAACGTTTTGGGAAAGTTTATATGTCTTCTTCATGTTGATGTAAGATTTGACACAATCTTTTCTTGTCTTCATAGGGACATTGTGTCATTAACAGTAAAATGTACAATATATTACCAATTTAACATACATTGCATTTATTTGTAAATGAATTGTTACTGACTGTTGACTTTTTTTTTTTACAAACTTGTGCAACTTGCACAGACACCCAACTTTACATTTGACAACAGAAACTATATGCAAGAGTGTAAATGTTTAATAAACAGTTTCTTAAACATTTGTCAACATTTTGCTCTGTCTCCCAGCTTTGCTCTTCCCAAGCTGAGTAGAGCAGTGGTGCGTGTGAGGAGACTGGCGGCTCAACTCAGCAAAGCAACAATGTCCACAAACCACCAGGAATCCAGTCCGTCCTCTGCAGCCAATGGGGATGCTCCCACTGCAGCAATTCTTATCATTGGAGATGAGATACTTAAGGTGATTTAGCGTTGATAGTTGCTTGTGGTTTTTACGATTTTTAAGCTGTATTTGTGTGATTGATAGTAACCCACTGAGAATCCTTGAAAGTTTGTGGATTTGAGAAAATCCAAATAAATCTGTACACTTGAAAGTATTAAAACACGCATCCTAGCATGACACCCTAATTCATCAGTATGCCTCAGCTCTCTGGACCACTATGGAGCTCAGGATCCACACTTCATATCCTGAGGAAAACCCTGTGATGGTTATTTGATGCGGCCGCAGTGCTGAGTTTTAAAATGACAAGTTCACCATTATTTCTTGACTTGACATGATCATGATTTAAACATGAAGCCTTTGATTTTGTCCAATGTCATGTCAAGCAAGACTTTGAAGTCATGGTTAAGTCCCTGAATGTGATGCTCAAGTGAGGGTGGCAACACTGGATTGAAACTTACCAAGTGTCTTTTATCGTCCGTCGTCTCCCAGGGTCACACAGTGGACACCAACAGTGCCTTTCTGACACGAGCACTAAGGAAGCTTGGAGTGTCTGTGCAGCGCATTACAGTTGTACCGGATACACAGGAGGTCATTGCCAAAGAGGTGGCCCTCCTTTCGCCTCAGTACACGCACCTCATCACCTCAGGAGGCATAGGCCCCACCCATGATGACGTCACCTTTGAGAGCATTGCCATGGCGTTCCAAGAGGAGTTATATCCCCACCCTGAGCTTGCCCAGCTTGTTAAAGAATTCTTTGGGGTGGTGGACAAAAACAGTGCTGCTTTGAAGCTGGCCATGGTTCCTCGCTCAGCCAAACTCAACTATGGAACCGACCCTCAGACTGGACAACTGCTCCGCTATCCACTGGTGAGTCAGTGCAGGACAGAGCGGGATGAGCTTATTTCATTAAACTGCATTTGTTAAATGCTATGATTCATGTTGATGTAAAAAACCAAACTAGATCAAATTATACCCAAGGCGTGACAGGTCAGTGCCCTCCACCTACTGACTGTGTGTGTTCACCTTTTCCATACATTTTTTGGCTTCAACAAAATTGTTCAGCTGACAAAACTTTCAGGAAGATGTTAACTCAAAATCCCCAAATCCAATAATATTCTGTCTGTTCTATCCTGTTTATGGGTTATAAAACAGATTGCTGCATTAACTACTAACCAGACACTGCGGGAGAGAAAAACAGATTCACATATGGAGCGAAGCAATTTCATTGAACTTTTACAGAAAGTAGGAGTGAAAGGCATTCAAGAATTTGTGTTGCATTTTGCTGAAATTCAAACTTGACACGCTGATAGTTTACCTTAATGAAGTCATACAAACATTCATGGATTTAAATGTGTCATTTAGACCATTAATTAAATGAAGTAGTTACACGTATGTGTGCATTAGCTACATTTATTCATACAGTTGGTTATACTGAACACAACACTGACTATACCCTAACACACTCAGAGCATATGATTCACACCATCTGGCCCATATATTCTTACTGTATATGTTGTGTTCACCCCCTGTTCTCAGGTCAGTGTGCATAATGTGTACATCTTTCCTGGGATCCCGTCTCTGATGGAAAGGGCCTTCAGTGGGCTGGAGCATCTCTTTGCTAGTTCAGGGACCACTTTTCACACTCGTGAGGTAACATCTAGACCAACCCTATCATTTACAAAATATTCATCAGAATACTGTGTTTTCATAGTACAAGGAAACTCACCAAACATCATTGTTTTAGGTGTTTGTGGATGCAGATGAAGCAGAGATCGCCCCTGTGCTGACCAAACTGCAGGCTGGTTGGGGTAGGAAGGTGGCTCTAGGCTCCTACCCCGACTGGCTGAGCAACTATCACCGAGTCAGGCTGGTCCTGGACTCAGACAGCCAGGAAGAGGCGGACAAATCCCGGGCGCAGCTGTTAGATGAACTGCCCAAGGGCAGCGTGGTGCCCTTAGTCACTGACCCGGTGTCCATCGCCACTGCTGAAGTGTACACACTGGCCAACAACGGTGAGGGGGAGACGGGGTGCAGAGGGTGGTGGGAGAGGATAGTTAAACTGTGTTAACTTAATATGAGGGGAATATTGAAGAGAACTCCTTCACTTTACACAGGTGTTGGGACTAATAAATGAAGCAAAGAGATTAAAGTGATTATAGCAGTAAAATCATGTGGATTATAAAAAAGTATATAACTCGTATGAGACTGAACAGAGAATAGAATCATGCATCAGTAACTAAGATAAGACAAAGGACATGCAGATATTTTTACTATAAATTTGACATAGAAATGAGGGATCAGTGATATTACACCTAACAAAATTTGACTACCCTCCCTGTAAAACACCCTCTTGCTGTGGATTTCATTTCCCACAGGTACGCCGTTAGGTGAGAAAGTTATGTCTGCTCTGAAAACGATAGAGGCTGCACTGGATCAGTATTCAACAGGGGAAGTCTGCGTCGGCTTCAACGGAGGCAAAGACTGCACGGCGCTGCTCCATCTCTACTATGCTGCACTGAAACGGTAACAGGAGGGGAGAAGACCTGATGAGACAATTAGAACATTTAGGGGCAGGAGTGATTTAATCAGGACAAAGCAAATGACCTGAGAGAGAAGAGATGAAAGGGAGATTCAAATTAAAAACATAACGATAGCACTTCTGCACAGTGGGATGTTACAGTAAGAAGTAAGTGAAGAAGAAAATGAGGTCGAGAGCAGCAACTAGACTGAGAAAAATGTTGGACAAGACAGACTACTTATTTGACTTTTCTTGACCTGTGATGGACAGATAGTTGGAGGTAATGATAAGGAGAATGGACACTTATCTAATCTTTTTCTGTCCTGCTGTTATTTATCTTTTTTTAATGTCCCATTTCCTCTCTCTGCCACTCTCAGACGGTATCCAGACGGTAAAGACAAGGTGAAAGCTCTGTATATTCGTATCGTCTCTCCATTCCCAGAAATGGAGCGATTCCTCCAGGACACAATTAAAAGGTGACTATAATAATAAAAACACATTTCAGTGGATTTCCACTGTTTTTTGCAGATTTATTTGATGAGTTTTTATCTTTTTACTAGGTGTTACCAGTTCAAGTGGTCGAGTATTAAGGTTTTCTGGTCAAAAAAATGTCTCTAATCCTCTCCATGTTGCAACACAGCAGCTCATTTTTTGGCGATCTTCCTCCCACAGGTACGACCTGGATCTCTTCTCTGTGGAGGGCAGTATTCGGCAGGCGCTGAGCGAGGTGCAGGAGCGGAGGCCGGAGCTGAGAGCCGTCCTGATGGGGACCAGGAGGAGTGACCCCTACTCACACACACTCACATCCATGTGTCCCACCGACCCCGGCTGGCCAGACTACATGAGAGTCAACCCGTTACTAGTGAGACTCACACAAACGCACCCAAATAACAGAGACACTGTTACACTGTTATATGGTCTCATTGTCTCTACAAAAACACCTCAAAATCAACATAACTAAGTCTGAAAGTCTAAGTGAAACATACATGTAGCCAAAAGATGAGTGATATTTGAAATTGTTGTAAAAGGAAATTTAGGTTTACTTCACCTGACCTTTTTTATCTTAAGAGCAGCTGCAGACATTTATTATAAAATAAAAAAGCGACATCAGTTACCCCACTTTATTTAAAGCTACAGTGTATATGTTGCTGCAGCTTTTCGACAGGTTATACAAATGTGTTTTCACTGCTCTAACCAGGCAATTTCATCCACACTACTACGTTTTTAGTTTTAAAGAGTATCACTTTCGCTATGTTTTCGCCTGGTGTCCACACTACTCCAGAGTTTTCGAGCACCTGAAACACAGACTTTTGGAAAGACGGCTGACCCCGTTTTGGTTTGAAAACTCTGGGGTTGTTTTGCAGTGTGGACGGGTTGAGACCTTTGGAAACAATGACGTAGACACCCGCGGTCGCTCCCTGATTGGGTCTTAGCCTCGACTACCAGTGGTGAAAGCAACGTGGATAACTAAATAAAAGCGTTACTGACCTCGCTGTCTTAGCAGCTGTTGTGTTAGATTCTGCATTTTAACGCTACAATTGCCTTCACTGTTCCTTGTTCGTAGTATTTTCTGCAACTAACCACCTACAGAGAAGAAAGTCTATTTCCTGTGTACACCAGCTCGCGCATGCCCAGTGTATGTTAACGGTCATGTATGTATGTGTTTTCAGGTGCGATCGTATGGACGGAGATCGTTTTTCTTTTAAAATGAAAACGTGCTAGTGTGGACATTTAATGCAATTCAGCAGCCTTACAGTAATTATACGTATGTACATACAGTAAGCTTCACACGTTCGTAGTTGCTGTTGGATTGCATTTTTGTTGGTTGCAACCTCTAATGTTGTTGCTCTTCCATCTGCTTAGTCTGAAGTAAATGCAATGTCACTTGCTGCATTTGAGTTTTAAAAATGTATTCAGAAAAGGGAAAATCATTTTAGAATGGCAGTTCGTGGATATGCACGAGTGAATCTCACGGGAATTCAGCGGAGGATGAGTCAGTCACAATAAAATTTACTGTCTTCCAACAATCTACAGGACTGGACGTATCATGACATCTGGTCGTTCTTGAGGACGCTATATGTGCCCTACTGCATTCTCTACGATAAAGGGTAAGAACAAATCCACCCCCTCTTTGTACATTTTCTGTATCCTCCTTTCATTTTGGGGTTGAACGACATCACAGCCGCAGCGCACAATTCCTGGTCTTAAACTCCTGTGTCGACCTGCAGGTACACTTCACTGGGCAGCATGGACAACACCTGTCGAAACACGTCCCTCCAGATGGTGGATGGGAGAGGGGTGACACGGTACAAGCCAGCCTACCTCCTGGAGAATGAAGAAGAGGAGCGAAACTCCCGTGCCTGATGTAGCCTCACTTCTCCCTGTCACCTGTTGCTGATGGAGCCAGATTTTCAGATCACCACTCACACACTATTGTCCTTGTGAAGAAAAGACTCAACGCATCCGACTGCAGAATGAGATTGTGAAGGGTGTGTGTGTGTGTGTGTGTGTGTGTGTGTGTGTGTGTGTGTGTGTGTGTGTGTGTGTGTGTGTGTGTGTGTGTGTATCTTTGTTACTTGTGTATACTTGTGAGTCTATAAAATAATGGCTCTGTGTGCTGTTGAATAAAACATCAGTCTGTGTCATCTTTTTCTATTGTCATGTTTCTATTTTAAGAGGAGTCTCACATACTAACGGCAGCCTGCAGGGCTTTCAATATGGCCCTTGATTTATCTCATTCATGAATCCATTTGTCTTATTTCTAAATCCAATAAGACCAATCTGCCCAGAAAGACAGCCTCTATCAAAATGTATTAGTAAATAATATGAAAAGGTTTTCTGTCAAGGTGAGAAAATCAGGTTTTAGAAACTTGGTGTGCAGTAGCATGGACAGACTACTGAAGGTCAACCAGCAGGCTCTTATTGATTCATCTGTGGCTCACACTGAATATCCATAATTGCAGACTGCAGTGTGTTAAACTGAGCATCCCTGTAGCCAGCCTTCACTGGAAAAACCTCCACTTTGATGTAGTTCTCTTTGCGCACCTCACGGGCGCGTTGTTCTCACGTTTTCCATTTAGCACCGGTGATTACAATAAATTACCTTCTCTGTTTCCAGACATGATTGAATCCAGGCTCATCGATCCCCCCCCCCCCCCCCCCCCCCCCCTCTCTCTCTTTCACTCTCTCGCCCTCCACCTCTCTCTCTCTCTCTCGCTCTGTCTCTCCACCTCTCCTCCTCGCCTGTAGATTAGTCAACGCCGCGCAGCGAGGATCGATACCGGCCGATCTAATAAAGCGGGTCGCTTACGAGGCCACCGCGGGGCTGCACACACTGTTACACCAGCAATTACCACCTCCAGCCCGGCCCCTCATACCCCTTAACTTATCTGTCCAGGCTTCACGGCTTGCTTGATTTATTAATAATAACAGTAATAAAAGAGGCAATGAACAGAGGCTTTATAATCACAGCAGAAATGTAATGGTGTGTGTGTTTTGCTGGTGCGATAAACACGGCGGGACATTGTCTGGAATGATGATATTTGTGTGCAAGAAAATGATATTACTATATTCTTACAATGTATTTTTTACAATGAGGTTGCTCAAACCTTGTGTTACTTGCAGGCTACGTATAAGAGTGAATCACTAACTCAGTTGTGAAAAGTAGGCTACATTTACTCAAGTACTCCACATACTTGTACTTTACTGGAGTATTTCTATTTACTTCTATTTCAGAGAGAGACATTGTACTTTTTAGTCTGTTTATTGGACAGCTATAGTCACGAGTTGCTTTTCAGTTTAAGATTCTATATTAAAATCATATGATAAAACAAAATACAATACACGTTCCCGGTGTCAATGGATTGTTCGCACTTTCATCAAAGATAGATTTTCCCTTTAAACTTCTCTAATGGTTTCTTTAAATCATTTAGGCCCAAAGAGGTAAAAGTATCCAATGTTTTATGAAAAAGAAACGATAGAGAAAAATGTAGCAGAACTTTCCTTTTTCTTGTATCCAACTCTATTAATCATCTCAGAGTCCCTCAGGGCTGACCCTTAGGTGGGAATCAAGGGGCTAAACTCCCTGGATGTATTACTTGGATGCCTTGGAGTATTACAATACAGTATTGCCAACATAATAATATATCAGTGACAAGGATTATGTTTCTGTATAATCAGTACTTTTACTTTTCATACTTTAACTACATTTTCCTTATTCTATATTATTTTATATGCCTGCAGTATTTTAACACTGTACTACAAGGATACCAGGAACACTAAATTAGTTTGGACATTTGTATGATATCTGTCTGCAGTTTATTACTTCTGTCCTTTGGTCCCATTGTCTTCCACTGTTTCATCTTCATCCTCTTTCAGTTGTCACTCCATCATTCTCTCTTGCCTGTTTCATCCTTCGTGCCTGTTTTGGATTCACCATTGTGTCCACTGTAGTTGTCATGCCACTTCCTTCCTCACTGCCTTTCCTCTGTGCTATAACTATATTTTTGTTCCGTTTTTCTTATGAATTCTTGAGTTTTGAATTTAACCTGAAGGACTGAGTCAGAAAAACAACCACGGTGACATAGTGGGAGGATATGGGTACTGACTTCCAGGGGTCTAGAACTGTCTGGACTAAAATACTTTTCTCTGTGTGTGGTCTTCAGCTGCATATTTATGAATATGTTAGGGTTTTTTTTTTTTATTTCATACTGCTCTGCTTTTGAAACTTGGTTTGTTGTTAAATCTACAAAACTGCAAACAAAACATTCTTGAAATTCTGATACAGCAACTTCTGTGTCATCTGAGACAAAGTGGAACAAGCAGGAATAAAAAGTGGCTATTTTTCTCCCCCTCCTGTGCATATTTAAACTTAATTGGTTCTCCAAAGACAGATTTTGGTTCGGCTGGTGGAAGTAAGATCAGAGCAACCACTTAAGGTGATGTGAGGATAAGAACAAGTCGGGTGATCAGAGTTACCCCCTGTGCATTAGGCCCATAATTCCTTGCTGCACTCTCAATACACTCCAGCGTTTCTGTCCAAATCTCCCAGGTGGGACAGAGTTATACCCGAATCCACAGAGCTAACGGAGTGTGTGATATGGACTCAGCATGACTTAAGATCACACTTGGCGTGACTTTGTACAAAAACATGTGACAAGCTTTGATATCGGAGTGAACTATCCATTTCAGATGCTCATAGATGTGAGCCTGCCTCGGTGACTGTGATGCTTTTCTCTAAAGGAATATGTTCCTAATCCAATTCCTCAGCAGTTCCTGCAGTGTAAAACGAGACTTGAAGCAGCATGAGACAGCAATTCAGGCGATGTCCTAGGAGGGATGCTTAACACAGAGGATGAATAGACACTCCATTGTCAGAAAGCATCAGGAGAGAAGGGAGACCCTTGAGTCTATGCAAATTACCAACCCATCTGCATGTAAAGCCAACCGACCAGAACACGGAAAATAGGATGTTCGGTATCAAAGTGTCACACATTAAACGTGGATGAAAGTAAGAGAGAAAGAAAGGAAAGGGAGGGAGGAATGAAGAAGGAGGCTCCTTCGCTTGCTGCCATGTGAAGTGTGACTGACTTAGCTCGTTTGTGTCTGGTGTTGGTGTGTTCAAATAAAAGCCAGTCTAATAATCCTAAGTTTGTCACAGCTCGCAGTCCGGTACACAGAACCAAGACCCCCTGCCCGTAGCCGCACACATGGGATGCATTCAAAAAATGCCTTTCACACAGCGGGCTCGCTTTAACGTAAAGGGCCGGGGTCTGTGAAGCTTCAACCAGCATGCTGAAAACTGATGAGAAAAATTCAGCTCAGCTCAACTCAACTGGAGCTCATTTGCACTCAACAGCCATAACTTAAACATGGAGCAGGGTGTTAGAAAGATGAGAGATGTTTAACACTAGAAAGGCCCAGTCAGAGCAACTGATTCCTGTTTTTATAGATTAAGGATGGATTTTAAACATTCAGAAAGTCCTTCCATGACTTTCCTGAGACCAATTTTCTGCACAAATCAATGTTAAATATTCAAAATCAGGCACGGAAATGGTATCTATCTCTGTTTACCTCCTTCAGATGACATCTTGTTCATCTCTTCAGTATCAAAACATAGTGCTTGAAATGTTTTTCAGAGTGTCAGAAATTTTGAAATGAATGGTTATGAATGAGAAAGTGTGAAGTTAAGCCATCATACTGTCTGTAAAGGTTGGCATATTAACTGATATATCTGTTGACAAGCGCTCTCTTGAGCTAAACATCAAAACAGCTAATGTGTGTGTTTAAGTGGGTCCATCCGTGTTTATCACCATTTGTGTGACACGCTGCAAGCGCCTGCTTCATGAGCATATCGCAGAAATAATTACACTGTTATTGGCTATACTTGACACATGTAAAGGATGTGGAAAAGAGTATGACATAAGCATACCCGGTTGGTTTAGACTTTATTTAGCACAAACATACTCTACTTACACCCAAAGAGGAAATAAAAACCCTGACTATTATTCATAACCTGGAAATTAAATAGCACACCAATTCATCAAGACTAGAAAATTATTCAATGAAAATCCTCAGAGGCTTTTGCACCCCTCACACACAAAAAAACATTAAGCAACATATGAAAACTGGTGAGGAACCATATATTTTTAATGCTTCTAACAGAGCTCTCATTGTAAACAGTGCAGTAAATCACCTTATATAAAGTGTAGGGTTCATAAAAAAAATCAATATCATTCAGAAAAAAACGTATTTCTCCAGAGCTGAGTGCGTTGTGATGTGACAGCTGCAGTGAAGAGTACGTGTATGCAGATGTGTTATCTGTTTCATATTATTTTCTTTCTATAATTTTGTTTGTGCGGCTCCAGCTGTTTTAGGTCTGTATATATGTGAGGTAAAGTGTGGTGTTACTATTGATCAGCTCTGAGGGCCATTGAAAATGCTCCTAAATTTGTCACTGGCAACACAAGCGAAGTGAAACCTCTCAGAATAATAAGGGAGGATATTCTCGGGTGGAATTTTGAAAGTAGTGGGTCTTACTGTTATAACCCACTTCACAGATTTAGCATCTTAAGTCCGTTTTTTTACCCTCCACTGCGTAAAGGGTCAGATATTCACCTTGGGAAATAGAAACTGCATCTGATTATAAAGTATTGAAAAAGTAGACGCAATATGTGCAAGAGATGTCAAGTGACATTATGCTGATTGGTGGAGACTTTACCACAGTCCTTGATCCTGATCTTGTGGAGGGCTCTTTTTCAGAACTATATAATAAAACACAGAAGAGCTGAGACGTTACCTAGAGGAGTAAATAACACTTAATGCTGCCTAGAGATCTGCACGCAACAGCAAAACACTTTTCCTGTTCACAGAGCTTCTGCTCTCTCCTCGCTGGAAGATGCAATGTTTTACATCCAGAGCTGTGAGATTGAGAGGTCACAGGATTTCAGCCCCATTTCCTGATGCAAAAAGGTTTGAGGAAGTTGACGGATGTGGACAGTAAAGGGCAGAAATGACAACTAAAGATTAGATTAGTGAGCTGGAAAGATCAGTGGAGCTTCAATTACATTTATAGACCCATCTCAGTGAAAACTTTCAAAGTAGTACTTTGATAGTAGTAAAGAAGCTTCAACAGCTCCATAAATAAATACAGTATCTTAACAAGTTAAAGCTGGACTAAAATAACAAATTTAAGGTACAGTGTTTCATGACAGTGGTTCAGTGCTGGCTGCATTCTATATATTGATGAAGGCTTCTAACAACAGGATGCCTAAAGAAAACCAGCTTGGCCTTCCATCACTTCACTGCCCAGAGGATATAAAGTATATTTAGTGGATGCTGCGACTTCAATTAGACAATAATCACAACAACAAAAAAAACAATTAAACAATTAATTCAAAACCTCGAAACACATTTTTTTTTTATCAGAGACCTCATGATCTTATTCTCCAAAGTATTGTGAAGGACGCTTCCTGCAGCAGGGGTGCCGTCTCTCACCTCACCTCAGTTCACCCTGGTTCTGCAACATGTGAAATACACTCTGGTCAGGAGTCACAACTAGACTGCGGCTACTGATCGAGGCGTTGATTGCATAGTGACAGACGGTTAACTGTGAAAAACATTGTTCCAAAATTCTAGGAAAGGCTTGTGAAGCATGTGTCCGATACGTCTACGCACTTCTGAACAAAAGAAGAAACATGGACCACGGTACCTGCAGTGATTTGAAAAACTACACCAGATATGATTCACTGTTGACAAATGAAATACATAATTATTTGAATTACAAATATAAAAAGGGTCACTATATGCTGACTAATAGTGTGCTCTTTAAGAAACATGTCCTTAATTCAAAATGGATGCGAATTGTTACACAAATGATGGTAAGACTGAAAGGAAAATAAGCATTGTTTGTTTCCATTAATAGCCAGTGTTTTGTATTTCTGAAGACGTAATCAACACCAGCAATCCGAGCCTTAGATATTCAGCCGAGGTGCAATTAAATATAGGCCAACTAGTGGCTACAGACCCTGCTGTGTTGAAATTTGATAGAGTGTAATTACAGTGTAATTTGTGGAGAAGAGATCTGCAGTATGGATATGCTGTATGGAATCTTTTTTTCCTTGTCAGACAGTTAAAAAACTAAATTTGTCGCGCCTGAAATTGTTTACGATCACAGTCGTACCAGAAAGCCTCAGAGGAAACTTTGACGTGGGATTTTCATGATATTCTAAACTTAGGTAACATCTGTCCATAATTATGACGTTTATTTCTGAGGGTGAGTTCAGCTCCGGCTTTAGTAGCCTACATCAGCACGCAGTAGAATTGTAGCAAACATCAACATTGTCAAGTACGAAAAATGTCTGAAAATATGAGAATTTTTTGGTATAATTGTTTGAGCATTTCCTGTCAGGAATCAAAGGCAAAAAAAAAAAAACATTAAAAACTTCTCTATCACACTGTTACATAAAGGCTTTGGTCTGTGCATGCTCTTGCTGGAGTAAACAGCCGTACAGTTTTAACACCCGCAAGAGGGGAGTGGACTGCTGCTGCTTTTAACATCCTTTTCCCTTTTTACACCAATCTAAAAGTATCCCTGTCCTCCCGCTGGTTTCACTATGCTCACTTCATCATTCACAATGGAAAAAGAATGAGAACATGGGCTCTGGAAATGTATATGTGAAGGTCAAAATCAAAGCCAGTTCATAACAACATGCCTCAACAGTGACAAACATGTCATCAGAAGAGATCATAAACCATGAAATAGGAGCATTAGCCCTATTATCCAGGAAATTGCCTTTCTGGCTTCACAAGAGGCTCTACATTACAGCCTATATAAATGGAAATGCATTTACAGCTTATTTGGATGTACACTTCTATATTTAAAACAAGAAAACCCCAAAAAACATCTCATCTTGCTCCGTATTCAACCTCAGTCCTGTGTTTAGTGAAAATAAATACAGTGACTACTTTAAGGTCGATGTATTGGCAATGATGCTTCAGGGTCTATTAATACTGGGAGTCTATTGGGTATCTGAGTCTTATCAGGCTTTGGCTGCACATAGATAAAAACTCAGCTCAATATTCCACTAGGCTACTCACATTACAATGGCCTCTTACACCACAAGGTCATCTCAAGTCCCTGTAGTCTCCTTATCTCCATACTCCTGTGTCTTACACTGGATGTGTGTGTTCCACAAATAAAGCCATGTGTACATGTATGTATGTTTGCGTGTGTGTGTGTGTGTGTGTGTGTGTGTGTGTGTGTTTGCCGTCACTGAGACCTGCGGTTGCATAAAACATCAATACGTTCAAAAGTTAAATGATGATCGACTCAAAGTGTTTTAATGCAATCATATTTATCTTGTTGTCTTGCCACGTAAAAAAGGCTCAGATTGCAGTTGGCTCTTCACAGAAGACGCTACATTCTTCACTAAAATGTGAAAGCAGAACACATTAGACACACACATAAACAAATCAAACACAAATTCCTAGTAGTACATGATTGTAAAAATCTACATCACTGAAATTATTTAACACATTTTCAAAAATTGGTTTTATCACCCATTTAGGAAATTAACGTAATAACAACAACAACAATGACAACAACAACAACAACAACAACAACAACAACAACAACAACAACAACAACAACAACAACAACAACAACAACAACAACAACAACAACGGCCTGACGGGTGTGATTTGAGGAAAAAAATATATTAAGTGCTAACAATGTAGTTTTTTTTTTTTTTAACGACAGAGTAAACTTTACAATTAACCTGTTATTTTCTGAGCTCATGTCTCTCAAACATTTCTGTAGAAATAATCATGTAACTTTATAAATATACAAACTTCATTTAATTTCAATGAAAAATACACACATATATTATATCCAATTTCAATTAAAAAAAATCTGGAAAATTAATATGTAATCCATTATGATATTGTTTCTTAATCAATGACAGTCAATTAGTAATTTCTATTTTAAAAAAAAAAAAAAAAAAATTGGGGAAAAAAAGGAAATGAATTCCATCATCAAATCCTTTAACTTTGGAAACTACATTGTAGCAAAGTATATAGAAAATAAACCTGTAAATCCATATATACCCAGAGTATAAATCATGGTTTGTGTCTGTAAAAAAAGTAATTTTTGCCTGAATTTAGCTTAAATATCAGATCAGTTCTCACTAAAACATTGGATTATATAGTTAATACATCTCATTGTGCAGAATATATTAACTATACAGCAAAACCTAAAAAAAAAAAAGGATCCTGCGTATAAAAGAACAACAAAAGGAACAAAAAGCTCGTGTGCATATCTGTACACCTGGTACAGGAGCATCAACCATGCTGATGCTCTCTGTTTACCCATAAACCCCCCTGTTATGCGCTTTATTCTGAAAGCAGAGAGAGGGGTGGGGAGGCAGAACAACAGTGGGTTCAATCAGAGAGGAACAAACTTAGTCTCAGGTCCCAGTATAACCATACAGCACCAGAATCCAGCATTCAGTTCCTGGGTGTATGGCCAGCCCAGTCCAATTCCAGTTAAACCAGTTTAATCCCAGTAGGGGGCGCAGCAGCCTAGCCTGACTATTCCAGAATATTCCCCATTTCCTCCTAAAACACTTTTTTTTCCCTCAGAAAATCTACTTAGTTATACAAATTAAACACATTTATCATACTCTGATGCAAATTGGGCAGTTGTAAAATGAGTTAAGTTATTGTTGTCTGCCCATATACAGCATGTCGGAAAAGAAAAAAAGTCACCAGCCAAGTGACTGACCTCCACCCTGAGCCACTCAGTGCAGTAGTATGTGTTTATTTGGCCAATTTTCAACTGGAGGCAGATTCTCAAAAAGAAGCAAATGCACCTAAATAAGTAGAAAATGAGAAATAGAATGAGAAACACGGATGAAAAAGTCAGAAAACTTTGTTGGAACAAATCCAGACAGACTCATTGTTCTCCTGGCAGAGGAGTGGGATATGACTAGGCCTATAGCTTTATGTGTAATATTCTGCGCTACTACTTACACAACAGGTAGGAGAAGAAAATAACAAGAAATGAATCACTGTGATTCGGCGCGTCAGACCCTGAGTCACTGTGGCCCCATTTTGGAGAAGACACCCGATTCTTTCTGGAATTTCACAGGTAAAAAAAACAAAAAAAAAAAACAGCCACAAGGTAATATCTGTCATTTGCAATAGCTTAGCATAGATTGCATTGTGTCATTCACTGTCTGAGCATTAGATTGCATTGTGTACTTGAACGTCTGAGTAATAACTCCCGGAGAACAGGAGCGAGGTCAGCGGTGAGGACGGATGAGGAGATCAGGTGGTAGTCAGCAGGAGGAGGGCGAGGATGAGGAGGAGGAGTGGAAGTGAAGCTGTCCTCAGTGAGCAGGCATTACTTTGCGGTGCAGTGTCTGAAAGACAGATGGAAACTTGAAATTAACGTATGTATGTATATACAGTATATGGCCAAAAGTATCTGGACAGGAGTTTCTTCTGATCCGAGGCTGTTCTTGAACTTTTATGCTTGGCCCACCAGCAGTTGAGGAAAATCTTAACGCTACAGTAATATTCTTGAAAACAGTCCATTTAACAGCAACAGCTTGGGGAGGGCACGTCGTCTTCCAAGTTTGGTTGGAATAACTTGATGGGCCTGAACCGAGCGCTGACCTCGACCCTGTCCAACACGCTGACTGCGTTCACATCTTATCGCCCGGCATCGGTGGCTGACCGCACTACACTGTGCTGATGCTCTTGTGGCTGAATGGGATCAGATATCTCTGCAGCCAAGTTCCAAACTCTTGTCGGAAAAAACTTCCCAGAAGAGTGGAGGCTGTTATAGCAGCGCAGCAGCCATCTCTTGCCAGAGTTTTAGCAAGAGATGTACGAGAAACATGTGTGGGTGTAATGAGTGGGTGTCCACAATCTTTGTTTGGATTGTATTTTCCATTTGATTAAATTTACTGATCGTTACTGATAAATCTGCACTGGTTTAATATATGTTCTCATTTCTCATTTTCATCTTCTCCCATATAATGTGCCGTATTCTTGGTCCTGCAACAACTGCTATAACCAGTTAATGAACTAAAGCCCTTTTGAACTTGAAGGAAAAAGAGAGGAGACACAGAGATGACACATATACACTACCATCAAAAGATATGTAACCATGCAGACATGGTATTTAGATTCGTAAGATTAAGAAAACATTGCGTTTAAAATGTTGCATCTCACCTTGTATTTGTTTTGAACCCTCAGATGCTGTAATAGCAGAGAGAGAGAGAGAGAGAGAGAGAGAGAGAGAGAGAGAGAGAGAGAGAGAGAGAAGATTTAGATAAAGTTGAGGCAAAGAAACAAGTTGCTGATTAGTCATTTTTGCATGCTTAACTTTCTCAATAAAGCTGCTGCTTTGTGGAACAAAAGGAGAAAGAAACAGACAAATGACCAGGGGAAGGTATTTACCATTACTCAAAGCCTAATGCCATGAAAAATGAGTACTGACTGGCTGTGCAACCCTAAATATGTCCCCTATGCAAATTCTCTTAAAGGTCGGATAAAAAAAGAGCTTGAGAAGCATGGCAACAGGAAAAGATAGTGTTATGTAAATTAGGAAGAGTAAGAATGATCGAGATTATACAGAGGGGATACAGGAAATGAAAAAGAAAGGGGGGGAAAAAAACACAAGAAAATTCAAAATGACAGAGCGAAACCAAGAAGTGGACAGAAGATGAAAGGAAAAGCAGTGGAGACTCGAGTGAGAAAGTACGGTGAAAAAAAGAAGGTTGGAAAGATTGAAACAAGGTCAGACAGAGAGAAAAGGGAGGGAGAGAAAGAGACGGGATAGGGGGGTGTTTGTGTCTGGGCGTCACTCTCTCAGCAGGGGGCGGACTAAAAGGAAATAATGGAGGGAAGGATGGAGGGATGGTAGGATGGAGGGATAGGGAGGGGTGGGAGAGAGCTGGAGGGAGAGAGAGAGAGAGAGAGAGAGAGGGAGGAAAAGGACAAAAAAAAAATACAGGTGTAGTGAGACTATCAAGCGGAAACGGTTAAACCTCCTCAGAAAGACGAGGCGCCATGTAACATCGGTGAGAGAGGACAGGAGGGTCAGGAAGCAGGGATGAGGCTGCACAATTGCACCTGTTATTAAATCGATCTACAGCCTTGAGCCCACCTCTGACACCGCAACCCCGAAGACTCGCACAAACAACACGAGCATGCACCTACACACACGTGCGTATTGATGTCTCCCGGAAAACTACCACCTATCCACATCCCATAGCGATTGACTCAGATTATGAGAGAGGAAATGGGACACTCCAAACTCATCTGTTACAGTAAAGTCACTCACACCCACACACACGCACAGAGAGAGAGAGAGAGAGAGAGAGAGAGAGAGAAAGAGAGAGAGAGGATTCATTAAATGAGGGCTTGGCAGAGAAACACAGTGTTTGTCTGTAATATCCGTCTTGTACCTACAGGTCTCTGCAACAACATGTCGCTCCGACAAGACATGAGCCACTAAATTACTCCCAGGTTCTGTAGAACTAACGACCATCTACGGGTTAACGAAGCATTAAATAGCATGCTGAGTCTGGGCCTCTCACTGGGCTGCTGTGTGTGTGTGTGTGTGTGTGTGTGTGTGTGTATGTGTGTACGTGTGTGTGTCTATGTGAGCGTTTGTAGGAAAAATCAAAAATCAAGCAAAAAAGAATAATGCTCAAACATGTCATGGTTTGTATCGCGCCGCCGTACTTCCACAAAATAAAACTAAATATCATGTGCACGGTCTCAATTTTTTTTTTTTAAAATTAAAAATGTATTTCTGCTATTGTGACATATTTTCATGTAATTTAACGACTAAAAAATATGTATCAATTAGTCATCCTTTCAAGTTCAAATTGTGTTGATAAAAAAAGCATAAAAATGTGTATATTTTTTAGCATTTCAACATAAATCATTTTAAAATCAATTAAAAACTTAAAAAATGATTTACTTTTCTGATTGTAGCCATTTTGGATGCAGAAAACGTATTTTATGGTATTTTGTAAAAAAAAAAAAAAAAAGAATTTCTATACGACAATCAGAAATATGTTTTTAAATCAGACTTGTAATTCACTATGCTCAGGGTGAACTGTACTGTACACTGTCAGTTAGCGCGTGTGTGTAACGCCACAGCGCGGTTCCAAACTAAAATGTGCTCCTGTTACATGCCTTGTGTTTACCCGACTGTGTGTGATATGTGTGTTTTGATCTGACTTTAATCAAGTCATTTGTGCGAGAAAAAAAAAAAAAAAGAAAAAAAAAAAGAAAAACTGAAAACTGAGGACACGCGTTTGTGTCAACATCTTAATTTTGGTCATGGCGAGCTCCGCCACAAAATGGCGTCCATGGTGGCGTGACTGCAAGAGCAGCGTCTTCTCTGCACTGCAGTCAGAAACGTGCAGCATGTGTAACTGTACATGCACAACTATGGCTAAGAGTGTGTGTGTGTGTGTGTGCATGAGTGAGTGTGTGTGTGTGTGTGTCTCCAGTCGGCAGAACGCCCCACTGCAGAGACAGACACCATCCCACCTCTTCTCTCATTCCGCCATTTTACACACGCAGGAGCTAATGCTAACCAACTCTGACTGTTAACACTTCAGTCAAAGCGAAAAATGAAGCTAAAATTGCGAAAAACAGAAAAAACAGCAAATGAGAGCGCAAATCGATGAAAGTGGTTCAAGTCAAATTTTAGGTGACGAGTTCGGGATTCGAGAGAGCTCGAATGGGCAAGTGGTGTGTGTGTGTGTGTGTGTATTCAAGTTTTGTCCTTGTGTGTATCGAGTTCAGAGGGTACAAAGGTATTTGGGCGAGAGTGGAGGGGGTAGGAGGGCAGCGATGTAAGAAATGTCTAAAAAAAAAAAATAAAAAAAATAGCAGGAAAAAAGGGGAGAGAGTAAGTGGGGAAAATGGTGAAGCTCTGCAAACTGAAATGAATGCAATAGACTACTCACAGCGGGGGAACGACGGGAAAAAAAAGGGAAGAGAGACGGAGAGAGAAAGGGAATCAATTAGAGAGAGAGGGAAGTTGGTCTATAATGGATTCTCGCAGTAGGACGGCTAAAAAAGAGAAAGACAGAAAGGCAGAGCGACAAGGAGAACAGGAGAGATAAACACAACAGGAGGAGTTTTAAGAAGTTGCAGTAAAAAAAGAAAAAAAAAAAGAAAAGAAAAAAGAATAAGGTAAGTATGGAGTGAGAGGCGAAACGAGCCAGTGAAAGATGCAATAGAGGGCTGCAGGGTGCCGGAGATTTCACATGACACCAGTCTGCTGATGCCGATTCACAGCCTTGTTTTCTGATGCAACACAGGCTCAAGCACCTTTCAGCAAAGCCGCTGTCTCTGGCGTGATTCATGGCAGCGTTGAGCTCAAATAAACATCACATCACCACACACATCACTATGCCCAAAAAAACATAACCAACACCGAAGTAACCAAAAACAAAACCTGCTTTACAATACTGCGAGCAACAACCAGGACGGGAAAACAAGTAACATCAGAGCGAGGCACACGTTCTCTCTCTCTCTCTCTCACACACACACACACACACACACACACACACACAGACACATACACACACACACACACACACACACACACACACAGACACATACACACACACACACACACACACACACACACACAGACACATACACACACACACACACACACACACACACACACAGACACATACACACACACACACACACACACACACACACACATACAGACACAGACACATACACAGGATGTCATTAGGAGCCTCCTGCGTCACTGCATCTGTCCTGCCTGGTTTGTTGTGTTCTTGGGTTAAATTAAGGCGATAAACACACACATTCACACACTGGAGAGGAGACCGAGGGACCGGTGAGTGGAAGCTGACCTTGGAGCAATGACAGCGTACCTGACGGACCCTCTCACTGTCACCACTCTGTCCTTCAGACCAGTGTGAGGCAGGTGTGTGTGTGTGTGTGTGTGTGTGTATGTGCTCGCTGATAATTAATTCAAACACCCACAACAGGGCATCCCCGCATTGGATCTACCTTTTAATCACACGAGCTGCTTTCTGGGGAAAAAACTAAAAGTTTTGGGAGTTGGGGAGAGAAGAAGGGAGGGAGGCGCTCGGTTTGAAGTTTAGATAAGAGACGGGATATAGCTGAAGGACGAGAGCTTCCATCACCGAGGGCCCCACACACACACACACACTCTCTCTCTCTCTCTCACACAGAGTACACAGGCATGGAGCGTCCTGCTGCCATGGTACCTGTCAGATAAAAGGGAACCTGAGCAGGAAGGAACCAGGGAGTATGTGAGGTGTTACCACAGGGAACAAAACAACAACAGCTGTGGTAAACCGCCACTAATGGACAGTCAGAGAGAGGGAGAGAGAGAGAGAGAAAGAAAGAGAGAGAGAGAGAGAGACCCTCCAACTCTCCTTCATCTCCCCTCTCATCCATCTCATTCGCTCTCTTCTCTCCGGCCTCATGTGCTCTCATCCCGCCGCGCCCGCCGCACAGCGTGCGCACGGCAGAGATGGAGCGGAGAAACGGGGAGAGGGGAGTCGGTGAATAACTGTAAAACAGATATGGAGATACAACAAAGAGATAGAGAAGACACAGGAAAGGTGGAGGAGCTGGGGGTGTGGAGGCGGAGTCAGAGGGGGAGGGAGGAGGAAGTCTAAGAGACTGCCATGGATGGTGCCTAGATTAGTTTTGCTCCAGTAGTGAAAGATCATAAAAAATGAGGAAGGGAGGAGAGAGCTGAGGAGACAGAGAGAAGGGGAGGATTAGTGCCACTTCAGGAATGACAGAAGAGTAGAAAGAAAGAGCGGGAGGCTGAAGTGGAGGAGGAGGGAGGGGTGGGGGGTAAAATACAAGGAGAGGGAGATCCTGAAATTTAGTTGGGATTAGTTTTGGTTAAGGGACAGGATGAGAGGGAGGGAAGAGAGACAAAACAGAGAATCCGAAACAGAAGATGGAAGTATGTGCATCTTTGTAGGTGGAAGTCTCTTCACTGTAAAGGGTTTTAACAGTAAAGTCAAGTATGTGTGTGTGTGCACATGTGTGTGAGTGTGAGTGTGTGTGTGTGTGTGTGTGTGTGTGTGTGTGTGTGTGTGTGTGTGTGTGTGTGCGCGTGTGGGTGCATGCATAATCCAGGTGATTTCAAATATTTTGATTAATTCTGGCTCAGATAGGCAGATCTGGGAATACTGTCAGAAGGTCAAGACTACATTAGCATTTTCTCACTGAACAGCTATCTGTGGTATTTCTAATTAATGACAGCAGGATAATTAACACATGAAAAAAGTCATCAGCCTTCACTCTGGTAATAACGCAGCAAATTACTCCCCGTCTCGCGCCGGAACAGTGATGGCATTTAAGAATTCATTCGAGACGGATGGGACTCTTTTTATTCCAGATTTTAATATTTTTTTTCCCCCTTTATGCTAAACTGACACAAATGTAATCATGGTGGCAGGATTGGGAGATATTTGCAAGATGACATGTAGGAAATTAGTGAATACTTCTCACACGCATGTGCAAAGACACACAACCCTGCGACCAGTTTCCCTGGAAAGAAAAAAAAAGTGTGCGTTAGTTCAGGCTGGGACAGCACGACAAGCCCCCTGCAGATAGCACTGGGATGGGAACTGGGACAGACGTCTCAGACACACGCGCGCACACACACACACACACACACACACACACACACACACGCATATTTGTACAAATTAAACCGCCAGAGAACACACGCAAAGCCCCATAGACGCATGCAGGAGTGCACAAAAACACCAAGTGCACAGAAACAAAACTGGTCATACACATAGAAATGCCCTATCTCTCTCACACACACAAACACAAACACAAACACACACACACACACACACACACACCAACAACTGTACAGGGATTCCCACAGTGACTGGGCAACATTCCCAACCGGAATGGACAGCTCACTGGACTGGAAGACTAACGTTACTCCAGGCGGGCTCTGGATTAGATCAACTCTGGGAATTTCACACTGGGACAGAGAGATGGAGAGAGGGAGAATGAGGAAGACAAGGAGGCAAAAAAGAAAAAAGAAAAAGAAAAGAGTGACAGTGACTGGGTGGGAGCAGAAGAAAGATGTGCTTTAGAGGGAAGGAATGCTTAAATAAACCCTTGATCCAATTAGGTTTAAAAGCCAATGTGGACAGAAGAGTGGAGTTTATGTAGTTTATAAAAAAAGATGTAAGACTCAATTTAATGCAAAAAAAATTAAAAATTAGAGATTTAGTGAGAGTTGGTGACAAAGAAAGAGGGAAACAGCAGGAATAATAGCGGGATAAGTAACATCATGTTATAAAGCCCTGATAGCAGAGATGTGAGAGGCACAGAGAGGAGTCTCTTGGTGTACAAAGGGAAAGCATGAAAGGAAGAACAGATGAAAAGAGGAGTGTACTCACTGGGCTCACAGCACACGGTGACACGCAACTTCATACATGGCAGAAGAGGGCCTTCATCTGTGGGTAGAGCTGGAAAGAACAAGAAGGGGAAGATGTAAATAAGCCGCTCGTTTATTAAACCCAATTAACAGTTAGCAGTAGTTAAAACGCTAATGTGTCAAATAAAAAGAGAAATTTGCCCATGCTGAATAAAATCCTTTCCGTCAAATCTGCTCTTTGAGAACTCTCCTGCCGCTTGAAGAATTCTTATGATAAGCAGAACAACAAGTTTGCTTCTTACCATATCAATACCTCATGATAGCAGTATAAAGAATTATACCATCTCCCTGTGTCACAGAGACGAGCACACATCACACTTATCTACACAACTAAATAAGAACAATAAAATAAACTATCGAGAGCGCAGCCGTAAAAGAAGGCAACAGCTCCGATATCAATTCTGATTATGGCTCACATGGGAAAACAGGCAAACATCAGCTGTATTACCTGTCAGTTTAGCATCGCTTTTACAAAACAAATCTGTCTGGAAACTGCAGTAAAAAGGCTTTATATCTGAATAATTCACAAACAGCTGCTAGCTCAACAGGGACCCACCACACAAGCTGAGTATATGATGGCTAACACTCTGTCTCACTTTGTATCCATAATATCAACAGATATGCTACAGCATATCATAACACTGGGAATATAGAATAAGTCAATATCTACGGTGGGCAAAAGTGTTTGGCTCACACACACACACACACACACACACACACACACACACAACACACACAATACACACAACACAAGAAAGTGGAGAAAACATCATCATCATTTTCACAGTACGTTCAGGATATTGCATTTCGAAAAAAAAAAAAAGACAGCACACCAAATCAATGAAACACCTGCATACAGAAATGCAACTTGTACACAACACAACAAGAGTAAGTTCCATCACACCAGGACGCTCGATTCGCTGAAGCTGACCACTCATCAACGATGACACACAATGAGCTAATTAAGTTATTGTTTCAGTTTGGAAAAACAAACCTTAACTAAAGGTCCACTTACTATCTCTTTGAAGAGCTTTGGACCTCATGTTATGATCAGTTTTGTCAAACTAGTCAACAACAAACTTCCACGCTTTCTCCTAGTTTAAACACTGTGATTGCATTTTTCCACAGTAGCCATTTTGACTTATCATAGCAGGAGACGAACAGGTGTAAACACGAACAATGGCTCCGCTCTATTCAAGTGTCCCAGTAAGCCGTAACAGTGTGACAGTGGGTCAGAACGAACAATACAAGGACTCTCAAACGGAATTCACCCATCATTCATTTCATTATTTACACCTGTGCTTTTCCTGCTGGGCCTACCATGTCAAAATGTCTTCTGTGAAAAACCAGAGATGCCCAACATCACTCCCTCATTCACTCATTCATTTACTGCTCATTTATTTACAACTCTACAACTCCCTATATAATATACAATCAGTAGTTTACTGTATAGTGACCTGTAAATAGAGATTTCAGACACTATTAATGGTTCAATGGTTTTGTGTCATTGCTGACAGGTGTAGTGTCACATAACATGGCAGAAAGTAGTGTACATGCCAATGCTTTTTGTTCCACTGGGCACTACAGTAGATACATATATACTCAGATTCAGAGTTTTAAATAGGGAATAATTTTGCTCTATTCCTATTTTAAAAAAAGATATCGTCTAGCATTAGCCTCAGGCTAATTACTTTTTCTGTGCGCCTTGCCGTATATCTGTATTTTCTTATGTTGACCGCATCACTGTTGACTTGCATTATAATCTGTTAATGTCGGCGTTTTATTTATTTGCAGCATTTATAAATGCAATCTATATTGCCAATGATGGTCTGTTAATTTGCTTGTGTTTTGTAGAGTCGGAGTGCTTCAAGTTCTCTCTGCTCCTGTTACTATCCCCTCAAACGGTTCCATGAGCAGCTGACTATCAGAGGATGTCAAGGTGTTTCCTGTTTGTGGGGATCCAGACATGGAGAACCACTGGGCGTTGGTCAGCGGCCCCGGGCAGTGGGTCAGAGACCAAGAGACAGTGGGTTGTCAGTGTCATAGTCTGTGGGAGCTGGAGAGAGGGGCTGAGCCCAGCTCAGACTGAGCCAACTAATGCCATTAGTGTTTCTAATACTATTGTACTGTTCTCCCAGGCTAATGCCATTATACTGTCTCCAGTGCTGTGGGCCCATTCACCACACAAACCCCAGAGCCAGACATTTGGACCAACTTTACGCCTTATCTTTGATGTGGACAAAACACACACAATCGCTCTGAGCCCGATGTGGCCCGACCGGGGGGGGGGGGGGCCCATTGTTTCGTTTCTGTGAGCTGGCCTGAGCAACCACAATAGCCCAGTGTGTGTGTGTGTGTGTGTGTGTGTACATATATACATGTGTGTGTTAGCGTGTGTGTGGAACCGTGCTCTCATGCCCTCACAATGCTCCATTGTCCTTTGGACCGCAACAGTAATTTATGTAAAGATTCTTTCTCTCCCTTCGTCTCATCCATCCCTTTTCTCCATCGCTTTTGTTGCTCTCCCTTTTCTTTCTCCGGTGTGGATTCCACTCATCTGGCCTCTCTCGTCCCCCCCCCCCCCTTCCTGTACTGTCAGACTGTGTCCATCTTTTGCTCTTTCTCTCCCTCTGTCACTCCTCCACGCTTCTCTACCTCCGTCTGCTTCTCTGCTTGCCTTTATTTCTCCTTCACTGTCGTCATGTATTGATCTCCATTTCTTCCTCCTACACTTTGCAGTCCCTCTGTCTCTTTGTTGTCACCCTTCCATACTATGCATTCACTTGACTCTTTCATTCTCTGCCTTGTTTCATGTCCTCCCCCTCTTGGTTGGACTGACACCAGAAGTTGTAAAAAGTGAGAATGAAATGTCTTCTGATTTTACAGCCACTAAGCCATCTTCTGTCTCCCTCCCTCACTTTTCTCCCACCAGTGGTTTGAAATAAATGAGTGAGGAGAGTGGAGCACAGGGAGGTGTGCTGAAGAAAGAGGAAACCATCACTGACATTGTGTAAGGGCCCACGGGTTTAAGAAAACATCATATTAATGTCACTCAGTGTGAATTTATGGGAAACATTAATGCCATATGCAGCTGTTTGCCGACACTCAACGCCTCATAAAAAACACATTGGCTGAAGATGCTTCATCCCTTTAAAGTGCAGGGCTGCCTGGTCACACGCTTCCTCCAACACAGGTGTCTTTGCACAGGCTGATGAACCGAAACATCAAATATTTACACATCTTTTCTCTTTTTGGGCTGTTTTACTCGGCTGCCAGTGTATGGAGCCTGGAGCCAATATTCATGCTTTCACTAAAAAATACATTTCTCAGAAAAACAGCGGTAATGCACTTTGCATATTAAAAACACTTTATAGCCATGACCATCCCACACCTCCCTGGCCCGGCCTCGTGGTACTTTTTAAATGTCGACTGTTTCTAAAACGATTAGTTGATTAATTGATTAGTCAGACAGAACATTAATCTGCAGCTATTTTGCCAATTGAGTAATTATTATTAATAATCAGTGATGAAGCAGATTCTTATTTAACTCCTAGGATTATGGGTAAGGTTCGGATTACAATTTTCCACTGTTTTAAAAGCTTGAATTTTCACTTTTTCCTTATGAGCTGGAGCGGCTGTGGCTCAAGAGGTAGAGCGGATTGCCCACTAATCACAGGGTCGGTGGTTCGATCCCCAGCTCCTCCAGTCCGCCTGTAGAAGTGTCCCTGGGCAAGACACTGGCCCCGATGTATCATTTGAATGCGAGATAGAAAAAAGCACTGTGCATTGAAAAACAGCTGTGTGAATGTAGCTTGGAGTGTAAAGTGCTTCAAGTGGTCAATAAGATCATATAAGTGCAGTCCATTTACCTTATTGTTGATTTCAGTTTTTAGTCTATTTTTCAAGCAAAAATGCAAAACATCTAGTCCTAGTTCCAGCTTCTTAATTAACTCTTAATTTATTTATTTTAAGAATTTGATTCTTTTCGTTCAGCAGTTTGGCATTTTTTCTTAAAGTGGCCCTACTAGTGACCCTCTTCAATCTTTGAACACCCTGCCTTAATGACATACACACACACACACGCACACACACCTCTTATACTCACAGCTGTAGTAGTAGTGGTGCCCTGGCAGAAACTCAAACCCCAGCGAGAAGGGTGTGAACCTTTGGATCTTCTCAGAGAAACGCACTGGTCCAAATGGAGCGTAAGGGGTGTTACACTCCCATCTCTTGATAGCCCCCCTGGTCTCCACACAGCCCTGGAATGATGCCTCTCCCACCAGGTAGAGGGCCAGCGTCTCCGGTTGCCCGGAGCCCACGGTCTCCTTGTTGGGGAAGTGGGGGCAGTAGATGTCCAGGTAGTCGTTCAGATTCACCTGGATGGACAGATCTCCTGCCGTTAACCTGGAAGATAGAATGACAACAGCATTAATATTTCACATTACGATTACATCCAGTAATACGTGACTGAAGGGTAAAGAGAGGTGGTGATTAAACCCAGACAGACAGAGAAAGAAAGAAGACAGATGACAGGTATTCTATAATTCCTAATGCCTGGAGGAATGTGGATAGTTCATCAATATCACACATAACATTTACATAGGGTGATAAAGTCTAAAGAACGATTTGGGATTTGATATATCACACTGATACAACTCCATTTCATTTCCAGACCAGCAAGGGAGCAGTGTTGAGCGACAGTGAGAGAGAACAACAAATCCTCGTATGCTAATGAAGAGCACTGAGGGGAGTTCAGTGTAAAATAAACTTGACTCCCTTTGCTTTTCACTCTCCCACTACGCAGATATACACAGGCATGTACAGACTTAGGCAGACGTGCATGTGCATGCACAACCGCGTCTTCAGTCAAGGTTGATTGGCTTTAGGCATATAACAACAACTCTGGACAAGAGCGCATCATTAGAACAGAAGAGCTGCATAATGTATGCTCCTTTAGACTGCGGATTCTGACTTCCTGTCAGCTACAGTATAAAGAGTTATCCGTGTACAAACTAATATGGAGAAAGAGGCTGGGGCAAGTACATGTAGGTCAAAGTAAGAGAGGTAAATTTAACTTGACAAAATCATAAGACAAAGATCACAACAGCATGACAAGACAAAGCAGGAGACAAGGAATGAGGAGAGAAATTTGTGACAAAAGGAGGGATGGGATGTGAGTGATGGAGTGACATGAGATGGGGCCCAGAGAAAGACAGAAGGAGGCTGATGAAAAGAGTCGTTGAAACAGGTTGAAGAAGAAAGGTGGAACAAGAAAAAAAAAAAGAAAGAATAAAGAGGCCAAAGGAGGAGAAAAGTTGGATGAACAGGTGGAAAAAAAAGTGGAGTAAAAAAGAAAAGAAATAAAGTGTTTTAATTAGTGACCCCAGAGAGTCTGAGTGCAGACACACAGAGAGCGGAACAACGGAGTGGAGGAAGAGAGGAGACAGACTTTAATTGGTCTCCTCTTCGCATGGAGTGCAGGAGAAAACAATGAGGGGCAGAATGTGGCTTGGGCAGAAGGTTCAGGTCTGTCAGTGGGAGTCTTTATAGAGGGGTGACAGAGCGGAGGAGAGAGGAAGGGAGTGCTGGGAGTCAGTGAAGGGGAACATGGGAGGGAAAAGGAGCGTGGAATGGGGAGGGGGAGGCGGTGGCGGTGATGGTGGCGGCGGTGGCGGTGTTGGACGGCGGAGTAGTCTCAAGTTAAGTAGGCGGACAGAGAAGAGACCAAAATAATAAATGAGAGGACTAGAGGAGGGGATGAGGAGGAGGAGGAGGAGACAGAACTGATGAAAACCGAAATGAAACAGATAGACATGACAGGAAGCAGGAGACTGAGGTGGTCCCGCAAATCTGCAGAGGGTATCAAAGATGGATGGAGCGATGAGAGGAGAGATGACAAGAGACCGTCAGAGAGGATGTGGCCGTATGGCATGACCAAAGAAACTGAAATAGAAATCCATGTTCTCTGTTAACTTTGCACCTGAATGTGGGCGGGACGCCGTGTATTTCTGGCAGAGATAATGGAGCAAAAAAGAAGTGTGTGTGTGTTGTGTGTTTGTGTGTGTGTGTTTGTGTGTGTGTTCAATGGGGATGCAGGTGAGACCCTGGAGGCAGGTCTCACCAACGCTGCATCCTGCTCAATAGGTAGCGCGCAGAATTGGCGATCTATCAACTGGACAGGACACAATCGATCAGGATCCCTCGCTCAGGACACACACACACACTCCCCTGATCAATACCCCTTCTGTGAATGTGTGTGTGGCCACATCCGATAGCTCTATTACCTGTGTGCACTAATTACAGCCGAACAAAGTCACTCAATTGTTTGGTTAAGAGAACACAAAAGCACATAACAGCAAGAGCGCACGCTTGCACTCACACACACATACACACTCACACACTCCCCACTACCTGTGGTGCTTTCTGAGGCAGAGAAATGTTTACTTAGGTGCACCAGCTGTGGAAGAATGTGTATGTGTGTGTATGTGCGTGTGTGCTTGCGTGTGTGTGCGTGTATGTGTATGTAATAACAGATGTGTGCTGTGTCAACATGCTGCACCCCCTGCTATACATGTCATTCACCTCAAGCTTCTTCTGCAATGCTCGGGTTCTGTTTCCACCACCCAACCCCCAATCTGCATTCCTCCTCACTCCCTTCTTCTCCTCTATCTCCTCCCTCTTCTTCCCCCACTTTTGGATGACACATATTCATCTCCCCATCTATTTCTTCAGAAGCTTCATCTCTTCCATGTTCTCCCTCCTATTTCTGACTCCTCTCTATCCAACATTACCCCTTCAACCCCTTTTCCTCCCACAAGCCTCCGCCATCAGCCTGTGCCATATGTATGCCAGCAATTACAGAGGCAGTGTGCTCTACTGATGTCAAACTGTCAGCCCTCTTTCTCTCCTCGTCCCTTCCTTCCTCCCTTTCCTTCTCTCTGGCCCTGGTAGGCTTGGGTACGCCCTAATTACACTTAGCATCCTCCCCTCCTGCCAGCCACCATGCAACAGAGTGGTGACAGCACAGGGGCATCATGGGAGCACCGAGGAGCTGTGGGTGTCAAAGAACAGAGTGCTGGAGTAGCCTATCAGCGGGAGAATCCTCTGGAAGCGGAGGAGAGGATTGGTTTTGTCCAGTGTCGGAACAGGAGGGGTGGGGGTGGGTGGCAAAGACACAGAACAGGCAGGCGCACACACACACACACACACACACACACACACACACACACACACACACACACATTTAAGCACATGTGGGCGTGAATACACACACAAACACATGTTCACACACACCAGGACATGAAAGAACTTCAGGAGAATAAAACATGCTCTATCCCTCATGCCAGAGGGTGATCAGTGACACCCTCGTGCGGGCTGGTGCAAGCTCTTGGTTGATAAAGAAAAATCTGACTGAGAAGCCAAATCAAAAATAACATGCGGGGCCCTTCAGTGGAAAACTTGAAAAGGCTAGCATTTGCCCTTTTTATAATTACAGGAAATCACATTCAAAATTCAAAAATTGAACATAACCGAATAATGGCCGATACCCTCCCAATGTCCATGTAAATGTACATGCACAAAGATGCATATATAAGTGTAAGCGTCTTTGTGTGTGTGTGTGTGTGTGTGTGTGTGTGTGTGTGTGTGCGTGCGTGTGTGCAGTTATAATGAAATGCAGGGGGTTGACTGTGGCAGAGACCTTTGATCCTTTAATATGAGAGAATAATTAAAGGACCAACAATCCCACAACACGGCCTCAGGAATACAGAGCAGATACTCGATCACGCACACCAGCTGCATACTACGCATACTGAATACGCTGGGGCCCTTAACGCAAGTACTGCACACAAACATGGGGGATAAAAATATTCGGCTACAATGAAAATGCCAACAACACTAACGTCCCAGATGAATTCCAAAAATGTATATTGTAGGCACAGTGGTTTTGATAATTACTTTCATGCTTGTGATGGTACGCTAACCAGCCCACAGTAGAAGTCTGCTGGTTCCTGGTAGTGATGACGGGAGGCCGAGGGGCTTGGTGGAGTCTCAGTTCTTCCGTGGTCAGTCACAGCAGGGTGACCGCTAACTCTGGTCACTATGCTGACTGGGCACAGCATGCTGTGCCTTGGCTAGGCGTAGCATGACACAGCTTCAGCCTCGATGGTGTGTGATGTAGTAGCACTACTTGGTGACATGGGAGGATCTTTGGTGCTCTCTAGGACGATGACTTTGTGAAATGGTATTGTGTATTTCAGGTTTTTTGTTTTTGATTTTGCTGTATCAGATGGGTGCGGTTTGCTGTATGGTGACAGCTGAGATCATTTCAGGTGAGTCATTAATCTCAGTGAATAAAATAATGTCAGCTTTAACATACAGAAGAATAGAATTTCTGCAATCTATGGATTCGCCCTCTGAGGTGAAGTAAATCTGTGCAGAGCTTTCACAAACAGTTCAACGCTGCTGGACTTTGAAACAAGGAGAGGCAGACTGGGAAAGTCATATTAGCTTTTAACCCTGAAATTTCATACAACCCTGCCCTGCCAGAGTATAAACTGTACTGCTTGGTTTGGAGTCAGTTATGAGGTTGGAGTTGATGGTATTAACATACTGTCCATTAGTTAGCTATGAAGGCAGCTAGCTTGGAGGGTTATAGTGGCGGGCAAGTGCTAGCATGTTACCTCTTCTTCCCAAAGACTCACAACACCGGTGAATGTTCCCTTTTGAAATGATCGGCTCTTCATCAGATCCAGAAGTCATATGTACTTTTCCTAAATGTTAACAAAGTTAGACATGGTTAAAGGGAGTGTTCTACAGTGTTCTCTGTCTTTGGGAAGCAGAAAAAACTGTACGATTTCTAGACTCAGCGCCTGAACAAAATCAGATGTGTGTCTTGTGTATACTAGTGCTAGCATGTTACCAGCTACAGCTCGCTAACTAGCCACACTTAAAATGTCACCAACCTTACACTCCCACCTGTTTTGTGGAAATGTGCTAACAATGTTTGCTGTGTGAAAAAAATTTTTTTCGACACACGTGTGACAAGAGAGGGACTGAAGCAAAACTTGTGAGCACAAACGAAACCTGATGTGAGCAGGTGAATGAAACCAGCCTTCGGGAGCCTTTAATGGGAAAACAGCAGACTTACAGTGGGAAATAACTGAAAGAAAGTATGAGAGAAGTTCATGACAAAAAGACCCTGAAGACAGCACAGGAGAAAAGAGGGAACGAGGCAGATAACTAGGCTCTCAGTGACCTCCTGCTCCACAGGCTATCCTAATCTTCAGAGGAAAACAGGAGAGGGAATCATACAACTGTAGTGCTACATCCATGAGAACATCACAGAACGAGGGGGAAGGAGACAGACTTCATGTACTCTATACTGCACCTTTTCTAAGAATTTG